GTCTCTTGGAGGAGAGACGAAACGTTTCATTAGAGAAGAACCCGTCCAGAGGACCTATACAATTTTTTTTTCTTTTTGAGCATTTGATGATATTCTTTGGATCAATAAAACATCATAAAATGGTGGAACTTCTACCTTCAGCTTTCCATTGTCTTTATTTGGTTTTCTACTTACACACTGGGCACCGATAGTTAGTCTTGACTGCAACATAATATCCTCTGCACCAAATAACACCTCGTGTAGCAACAAAACATGCTGAGAAACCCACAGAACAAGTTCTTAAACCAGAGGAACCAGTGATTATTCTACAGAATAAATCAACTAGACTCAGATTTTAAAAGAGTTTTTTTGTCACTATTTGTGGTGCCCCCTAGATGGACAGCACCCTTAGCATTTGCCTACACCACCTATGCCACAGGCCAGCCCTGTACTCTTTTCATGTAGGCTACTTTATACACCTCTGACAAAAACAGAAAGCAATGAAGTTCAAGCATTCAACATCTGAATAAAATTTACAAATCATCACATTCTGTTTTTATTTACATTTCACACAACGTCCCAGCTTGGAGTTGTAGTAAACGAGCTAAATTATCTCAAAAATCCTCTTTCTACTATTAAAYGCTTCGAGTCGTGCTCACTCGGATTTCAGCACAGAGAAATACATCGAGCTCGTTTGATGGACGAGGAATCACCGGAGCGCCTAAACTCTCCAAAGTGAAGAGGCAGAGAAGCAAACACGTGTCGAAGACAAGTCACAGCTGACGAGTCGCATCAATAACAGGAGGACAAGAGAGGCCAAACAAGACGACGGCAGGCTGACATTTGATCAATGAACAAGTCGTGCACACACGTGGGAACAGAAATTACCTCCGCGCTGACTCATCCCGCTCCAACGCTCGTGTCGTTCGTCCCACTGAAAGCACCAACTGTCACTGGAACTTCAAAACCCTCGTCACGGCCAGAAAGAATTGTTTTTTTTTCTTTCAGGCACACGCTGGCTGCAGTTTATTTCCTGCTGCTCAGAGCTGTGGTGAACATGTTAGATTGCCTGGCGGCGTTTGCGACACCCGCCGAGGCTGTGGAGCAGACAGACAGCGAGCTTTCTGTGCACAGCCGTGTGAAAACAGGAGCACAGCTTCTTTCATTTGGAACATCCACACCTAGTTTTTTTTTTTCTTTTTTTTTCTTGCTTGGTGCTCACAAGTTCAAAAACAACCTTTTATCTGGACAAACTGCTTTATGTTTYGTTCCTCGTTTGGTTTCTTTCATTTCACTCAACACAAGACACAATGTGGACAATTAACCAGACTCATCTAAAAAGACATTTTTCAAGCAGTTCTTGTAGGTTTTTAAATAAAATTGACCTCATAGGTGTTTTAGGCCTTCATAGCAAAAAATAAAAGATGCCAAAGCCTCGTTTGTAGCATATTTTCAACGCTCCTTTACACTTGAAAAGTCAGAAAAATGCACACAATGCAGAGCCTGAAACGTTTTATATCTGCCCGCCCTAAGAGGAGCTGTAAGTCTGATGCAGACTTTCTTCTTTCCTCACATTCTGAGTGRCAGAATAGCTTTCCATACATGGCAGTGGATGTTCTTGGCAAGAGTCTCTTGAAACAAAGCTGATATCAGTCCCCATGGTTAAAAAAAAAAAAAACCTGAAATGAGCAGATGAGACACGCCGAGTGGGCAGAAGAGAGAAAGGGACACTGACACAAGCATGATGTTCCCAGGATCCAGCCTCCTCCCACGATTGTAAACGTGTTTTTGACGAGGAAAGCTATATCTGAACCACACACTCGTTTGAGCGCCCTTTGTCTAAACATGGACTTATTGTGATTGGAAAAAAAATCAGAGGATCAGACCCCTCATGRAAACCTCAGTCACTCCTAAATGCTTTCCATCACAGATGTTGGGTTCAGTCTTTGCAGAGTCTTTCAGGCAGTTGAGGTTGAGGCTGTCTCAGGGATGAACTTGTTTTGGTGCCGACACTGAATCTGTGTAGAGGTAAGAGGTTCATATCTCCTCTATCGAGTCGGCCGGGACCAGGCCTCGCTTCTTCCCGCTGCTCAGTTTCAGAAACCTCTCGCCGTCTTCCCGCTTCCCGACACAAATCTAGAGGCAGAGACAGAAAGCTGACCACAAACTTGTCGGTGTAGCTCTTTTAGGATTGTGAAAACAATCAGCGGCCGATCCGTACCTGAGATTCCCTCACTGTCATGTGACCTCGCTCCCGGCTGCCGGAGACGCCCTGGACGACCCGCCACACCCGCTCTCCGGGCCGGACTCTCTGAACGAAGTTGGCGGGGAAGAAGCCGACCCTGTCGCCGCTCTTACCCTGGAGAACAAACGAGACACTAGCTGCGTTTCCACTGACCATGAAAATGCGCAAATTAGAATTTCGAAAACAAATTTGTTCAATGGAAACATGTCAATTTCGAAAAAAAAAAACACGTTTTTCTACAAAATGTTTTTGTGCTAGGATGAGGTGGTTTTTCAGCCGTATCGAAATTGGCATGTTTCGCAAAACTGCAATGGAAACACTTTTTTCGCATCACGAGAGTCACATGATCAAGAACCGGCTGTTTCTACTGGCGAAAAAAACGACAAAGAAGACAACAGGAAGTAGACGTAGTAGTAAAATCATGGAAGTAGTAAAAGAAAGTAGTAAACTCACTGACAACAATTTCCCAAAGACACAGCATACGTAGCCACTCCCATGTATAAGGGGCTTGTCGCTGGAAAGCCTCAATAAGAAGCTGACGTCTCCTCTGATGATGAGACCTAGTGTCTTGGTAGCAATATGTGTTTACATCCATTGCCGTGAAGAAACTTATTAGTCAGATTAATTACTGATTTTAAAGGGATCCCCGTTTAGTTGTAACATTAGACTTTATATGATAAAAATAGACTTTAACTGTAAAACAAAGACTGTAAAAAATACTGTAGGATGTTCAGTTTTTATAATTTTTAAACTAAAAGTTTAAAAATATATTACACGGATGGGGCCATTTTATATACATGCAAAGCATTCTGGGTAAATTATGACATCAACTAGGTCATCGACATGAGGCTGCTAGCGAGCTATATCCACCCTGAAGGTTAATCTTGGACAATATCTGATGATCGACTCTTTTAAATGAAACCAGAGAGCGTTGACAGAGAGGAGAAGGTAGAAATGACTCAGCCTGTAACTGAAAATATGGATGGAGGACAACAGAGCTGCTTCATGGAAGAAGAACCTTGATTAGCCTGTTAGCCTTCGCGCATAGGGGCTAACACTAAAGCTGGAAACAT